CTAAAATATGTCATTTATAAATGTTGCAGATTGCATGCGGAGAGGTCGATAATCAAGAATCTATGCCATATTACAATAATCATTGTAGGTATCCATTTTCGCTATAAAGTATTGGTAGTATTGGATTTTTAATAATCAATTTAATCTATCAATTTATTTTGTAATAAAACTCAACTACTATTTCTTGTTTGTATTTAAGTCGACTGCTCATGCAATAAATATGCACCTACCTACTATGTTTACGAAACTTACGATTCTATAAAAAATACGGACATAGAATAAATATCAATTAATTTCTCTTTTTTTTTAGTAGTAAATACTATGTAATAAACAATACGATCCGTTCTCCGATCCATGACGAGATATCATCTCCGTTCCCTACGCTCCAATCACGACTAAAATCGTCGGTCAATTAATTATATGCATGTTCTTTGCCCCCCATTTTTTTTTTCCGTGCGGAAATCCCCTTGGATACCACCTATCGGTGGCATGTCGGACTCGAACCGACTAAAACCGCACGCCGTCTCGGCTACTAATAGCCGGGGAACCAGGTATACCCTAGAAAGGAAGTCCCTGGTGCAACGACATACCTCGGGCCATCTACAACAAGTAGACGAGGACGGAGGTCGTTCTGCGACCTCCGGCGCCTGAGTCGCCTGCGGTACCGGGCCTGGCGGGCCGGGAGAGTTCTAAACCTCTCCCGGTCCCGCTCCACCGTCTCCTTGGCGAGCATAACTTGCTCGCAGAAGGAGACGGAAGAGTTCCACGCACTCTCGCTCCGCACGGTACTGCTAATTCAACTAACGATACTGCTCGTAAATTCTTTGTGGTGATATAAATAAATCTTCCTCTTAACCTTTTTTCTCAAGTTGGTCGGAGTTGGCTTTAATTCTACTACGATATGGCTGAACTTAAATAAATATCAAATAAATAAATAAATATACCCGAGCTGAAACCCTCCGGGGCCCCCAATTTTGGAGGCCTCAAAGGTGGCACCGTACTTGTGACTCTTGATTACCAAGTGTCCATCCATGGGCGTCGGTAGTTATTTACCATCAGGTGACACAGACGTGTCAAGAGCAGACGCTCTTTGTCCCCTATACCAGAAAAAAAATTGTCTACCGTAGGTACAGATAACGTACATTCATTTACTGCTCATAGCGAGTAGAGTAGCTATTTGTTTTTACTATTAAACGACATGGAAAATTGTTTTGTTATCGTCGCGTTGCTATCGGTATTTTTGTACATAAAACATTTGCCTAACAATAAGATGAGGGTACTTATTTTGAAGAGTATAGCAGTCCTATGGTAGCTTGTGAATAAATTGTAACATTGCACTCTACAACCTTCAAATCAATTTTCTTTTTATGTTAAGCTTTCACTGTTTATGTTTTAAAATTAAAAATAAAAGCAAACTTGAGACCATAAATATTTAATCTAATATTGCTAAATTTTATAGGCAATCGCCAAGTTAATTACACGAGTTCTGTTCAATGAAAAACACCTCTATGCCGTTAACATATTGCACGGTAGTCTTAAAAGGCCCTACTTTAGTTTCGTTTCAATTATTTCGGTGTATTTATTTTAACGTTAGAATTACCTTATTTCCTTCCGTATTATTAAACCTTCAAAATCTTCAAATGTTTCTTCGCAAAGTTTCATCCCCACCACTTCGATAACTAACTCTACCTGATTTGTGGAAGTACAAACATAACGCGCTCTGCGTTGTCTAGACTATGTAGAAATATAACCAGAGGGGTCTTTTTATTTATACCTCGCACCCTACAAATATCTATATTCGCCAGCTAGGCCACGAATAAAAATTTTGAAATAGGCCAATTAATAGTTAGTCGGTCGTCGAATTACCTAGTAGTGGTGGACTGTGACTTATACCGAGCAGACTTTTTTAGCGAATATCTAGAAACCTATGGAGGCTTTGATTGTACTAGTTGAAGTATAAAAAGATTCTTTTTATTAAACGTTTGTCACAAAATCCAGAACCTACACTAATTTACACCCAGTTTGGGTCACAAAATGGTTATGATAAGTTTGAGTTTAGATATGTCAATTAACTGGCGATTTATTATAAGACAGTATCGGTTTTAAGATGCCCTATGATACTCATAATAACCTACATCTATTCCTGACACAATTACAGAAATACTTTACAGTCGTTTTCGTCTTATTTAATTATAAGTAAATTATATTTCTCGTGAATGTAGCCGTTTTGTCACAAATAGCGTGCTAAATTTCTATATTCATTAGATATGCAATTATTCTTAATTTTAAGAAAGCTAATTGCGACGAATCGGCATTACAATTTATTTATACCTACATAACAGTTTTTATACAACTTAATAATTTGAACACAAAATATTATTTAATGAAAACGGAACTACCGAACTATTACGAACGGAACCTTTATATAATAAAATGATAAATTAAATTAAAATGAAAAATAATGCTTAAGTTATTAAATTTTTGAGTATTCGGCCTTGAACAAATAATCTTTAAAGATGAAGTAGTAACTATGACGACCACACGCTATAATTATTTTTTAAAAAGACAACTCTCGCACTAGGAATATATTACTGGACTAGCTGGCACCCGCGACTTCGTTCGCGTAGAATTTTTTTTAGAGCTCTTATGAGATACAAAATAGCCTAAGTCACTCCTTATATAAACATCAATCCGGAATCAAAACAAACAGACAGACAGACCGACAGACAAAAAACATTTAAACTGGTTTTTAGGCATAGGTTTCGTGAAAATAATCGTCTGAGCATGAAGAAAACCTATTGTTTTGACATTAAAAACAGACACTTCCATTTTATTTATTTGTATAGATTTGACAAAGAAACATGTACCTAACGGAAATAAACAACGCAGCCAGTGGATCACACAGTGTTGTCCCATGTGGGGATCGAACCCACAACACTCAGCGCAGTAGGAAGCGGCGAGGTGACTGCTTAAACCGCTTCGTTTATATAACTACAACTACTATAATTACCTCATATTTGAAATTATTAAAATAAATATTAAATTGATTAAAAAATGAAACTGTCAACTCGAGTAGTAAGATATAAAAAAAGACAACTTTAAATGTAACGAGGACGGCATATTTCCATTATCAGTATTACCGACATTCAATAGATAAGATAGGTTAATCACCTGCAAAAACAGTAACTTAAAATACTTATTAGTAAGTACTACACTACTAGTGAGTATTCCACTACTAAGTATTAGTAAGAAAAAATACTATAGAAATACTCGTATATATCAATCATCCCCCATGTACGAAGATAGGGGTTGTCGGTTGCAAAATATGGTGTCGTAATCGCAATTCCATTGTATGTAATACACTAAAAGTAGAATTGTGCTACGTTAAATATTTTATTAAACGCAAATGAATTATTTCACAATGGTTTCGAACATCATTTATTTTCTCATGATGTGATCTACATCCTATGTTCTATACTATCTACATCCTATGGTTGCCTGTTAGGGATTCTTTTGTGGTCCCTCTGTCTATATAATAAAATAAAATTCATGTCTAATAAATTGTATGAATTATTACACTGTATATCTCTATATCTTTACACAGAACGAATATACATTGTTGTTGGGTCGAAGTTCCGTGCGAATTTAACTGATATTGGGAGTAGGTATTACAGTAGCAAGTATCTCGCAGGTTTCTGATAACAAATATAGGTAGGTAAATAAAATATGCATTTCGGAATCAGTTATTTTGACAATTTATTTCTACACACCCATTTGTGCTTAAATAACTTAATGAGAAAAAAACTCATTAATTCACACTGTGAAATAGGATCAATGTTTCGTCACTTATTGAAATAATTCACTCGTACACTTTCATAGAATTACAAAAAATATGTTTAGTAGATAACAGTAAAACGAGTCTTCAATAAAATACGTTCAGCTAGCTGATTGTAAACAAGTAATATAAAAATTCAACAATTTCGAATAAGATTTTCTTATATTATAGCCAAAAACACTCTTAATCAAGTCAACTCTCAAAAAAAAAGTCCATCTCTTAAGGAATGAAATTAAGCCCAATCTTTTACGCATTGTGATACCAAGGACACCAAAACCCACCTCAAACTGTAATACAACCTATCTTTGCATCGGGGTTTAAAAATGGAATGCCTCATTCTTTTATTGTGTCTTATATTTTCAGTAACATACAGTTTCCTATTAAATTAATAAAAAAACAACTGTAACTATAATTGGATACATAAAACCTTGTGTAGCAACAAATATTATTACATAATATTCATCATTACGGGCATTATAACCACCATCCATGAAGCCAACATAACTATTAACGAATGATGATTGTATGTACATAATGACTAATGTAATATTTTAAATAATACATATTGGAATGTTTTTTCATTCAAGCAGTTTGGTTTTTGTTTACATAAAGACTATAAGTAAGAAAACGTATAATAGAATAGAACTACATTAAGTGCATAGCAGGAATAATAAGTACTTCAAATTTAACAAAAAATTTACACACATAGCTGAGGGTTACATTTTAACATTTAACTTTAATTTGCATTAATTATTTTAGCTATTACTCATTATTTTATTTAGGATGAGTGAAACTCATCTTAAATAAATCATAAAGTAAGTAGATCTATAATCAATAATATGAGGTACATAAGTTAAAGTCAATTATTCACAATGGCATTTCTGGTATAAAGAAACTTAAACATTGTTGTTATATTTAAGAATTTTTATGGTAATCACTTAGTTCTAAATGGATAATATTAACACACATTGTGATAATCAGTGAGAGCAATGAAAAATAAATAAATATTCAGGCTAGAAGAGAAACATTTTGTAAACCTTAAAATGTGCTCTATGATATTAAAAACTTTTTCGAAACTCTTTAAAAGTGCTCAGTTACAATTTGTTTTAATTTCATGGCTTTAGCTACCATAAATTATTTGAGATTTTTTTTATGCCTTCTGTAATTAGAGTTCTGCTTTTTCAGCTTTACTCTGTTTGTCATGCAATTGGAATGACATTAAAATATTAATTCTTTTATGCAATTCCTTTTTCTTCTCATCCGATACTTTGCTGTTAAGAATTTTCTTAACCCTTTCATATTCAGACCGAACAAAGTCATCACCCTTTTCTAGAACCTTCTGCATAATAGTCTTGTAGATTTTGCCAGAAACACTATCCTGAAATAAAAAAAAATGGTTTAAAATAATTGGGCTCCTTGACATATAATTTAATTGTAAATGAAGTTAGTATGTATGGAAAATATAAATGTTTTATTCATAAATTAAAAAACATATAAATAATATAGAAAACATGCTCTCAAATGTGCGCCACGTCGGCCAAATTAGACAATAAAATATAAAGTTTTATATCATACCTTGGCAGGTAGTTCATTTTGTAGTTTTTCCAGCTTCTTTAGCACTTTGTTTCTATCATCTTTCTTTTCTTTCATGAATTCTATGGCCAGGCTATCAAGTTCCTTCACGCAACCCGGCAAACTGAGATATATACCGGTGTTTTCACGAATGAAGAGCCGCAATTCATCACTGTTAAATCCTTTGGAATCATCGAAAGATATCGGTTCACTTTTGCCTTTTATGAACAATTTCACGACAGGGAAATTTTCTTTTGAGACACCGTATTTCTTTGCAAGCTGCTCGTTGTCTTTTTCACCGTAATCTTTTACACCAACTTCGGCGATCAAAAGATCATCCACGTCTTTCGCATCTTTTGCGAGAGCTATGAAGGCCTCATGTTTGTCACCGTAGGGAAATGCGACATCAAATTTAATAAGAGAAACTTCGAATTTATTAGTGATTTTGTCAAAAGATAATTCGTCTAAATCAACGGAACCGGACGGTGTGGACGCCTGGTATGCGAATGGAAAGAATAAAGCAATACACAAAAATACTAAATACGCTTTCATTTTTAGTAATCGATCTCACAACAGACTTGAATGCTTCTGTCTAGCAATACTAAGCGTAATTCACTGATAAAACGAATTAAATAAGCTCCGCTATCGTGTACAGCTCGATTTTATTAGTACTTAACACATTCCAGCGAGTCTGTTTTCTTTTACAATTATCAATATTTACAAGGATTCATTCCGTTCTACGCTACATTTCTACAATTTATGGGAAAATAAGTTATACTCTATAACATGGTTATTTTAAATCTTCCTAAAATAACTTTTTTAGTCTGTTTTCTTTTTCATGTAAGTATTTCTTATGTGTGAAGTAATAGTCCAGGCACATTGACTCATTTACAGAGATAAAAAAAGAAAAATGTTATCCAGATACATACGTTTTCAAATGGTTAAAAGGGTTAAAGTCAACATAAGGAAAATGTGTTATGTGCCCAAGAAAGTTAGGGGATGATTTTAGGGGTTGAAAAGGGGTGAAAATGGATACATCTCGTGTTTTTTGCAATTTCACGCGAAATTTGATGTCCCACTGAAAAATGTTAAATACAAAAGTTGTAGTTCTTGGAAAAATCTACAACTTTTGTATGGGTCATTTTTTAATATAACCTCAAAATTTCCGAAAAAAATGCAATAAATCAAAAAAAAATTTGTTTTTTGTTTTTTCTTGTCAATTTCTCAAAAATAAATATTTTTAAACCAAACTTGCTGAAAGTACTCCTTTTTGTGTCCCAAACAACAAAAACAAAATTTTAGATTGAAATATTAAAACCTGTTTGAAAGATTCATTTATTATGGTCCGGGACACGTTGTTTTCAAAGTTACATTTTACTACTTACAATCATCGTAGAGAGGTCATACAGGGCTCATTTTTTTCGTTTTGACGTCTACTTTTAATGAAATAATAAAACAATACAGCTTCCATTTAAAAACATGTCTAAAAATTGAAAAATATAAAAAAAAAAATTGGTTGCCTGTAAAGTCGGTATACGGGCGAAAGTTTTACGTGACAACGACTATGTCTGTCTCTCTCGCTCTTAGGCGGGCTAACCATGCCCGATTGGAAGGGACGCGTGCCTCTCACTCGCTCTCATTGTGAGCGCATAACGTGAGCGGAGCGTAACGCAGTTTCTTGAAGTGTCACCCGGCAAACCAATTTATAAGACGTTGTCACGTCAATAATTTTGCAAAAACAAATTTTTTGATTATTGTTAATAATTTGTTATAAATTTTTATAATTGTTAGTTTGTTAATATTTAAATAATTTGTTATAAATTTGCTATTATTGTTAATAATTTGTTATAAATAAATAAAAAAACAAAAACTAAAAAGACCATTGAATTGTACGGGAAAAAACACGAAGATACATATGTTTTCCTATTTAAATACATTTTTTATTTTTGTACAATACTGCTATAAACATTGTAATAGCATATTCCGTGTAGTTGAAAGATGTCAGGTAAGTACATACAATGCGATCGACTTTTACTTTAATAAGAAAAGTACCTCATTTCTCGCGATGAAATTTTTTAATTCAATTGTTGCTCTTCTGCATTGTTTTACTGGATGTGATACAACATCCGCTTTTGCTGGCAAAGGAAAAACAACAAGTTTTAATTCGTTGATTAATGCTCCTGAGTTAAAAGAATATATAAAGAGTGTGAGAGAGTTCGTTTACGTCAAAGTACTCAAAATATTTTCTAGGTCTTAAAAAGTAAATTCACATGGTAATTTCAGCCAGTAAAAAATATTTAACATGGAATGGAACGTTCACCTCCCCTCTTTTCCCTTGACAGCTGACCGTGGGCGCCTGTGATTGGCTCAAATTGTACCGGTTGGTGTTGTTTACTTTTAATCGTAGTCTGTTCTATATTACACATAACATGTAAACTATTGTTATGGTACGTTAACACGCTTGCCATTACTTGCCATGTCTCAGCAAGCGTAGACACACCACGTCAAGGTATGGAGTACAAAAAAACGCAATCTGTAGTATCAGACATAACATCCCCAAACGTTATGAAAAATAGTGTAAAAAGACTGGTCTGCAAATATGAGCACAGAAAATCATTGCTCGAATTAGAACCATTACAAATTAAATTATCTTTACATAGTATAAAATAAAGTCACTTGTCTATGTTGTACGCTTAGACCTTTTAAACTAAGAAACAGTCTTTAATGCGATTTTTACCAATAGTGATCCAAGGGGAAGGTTTATATGTATAATACCTGCATATTATAGAAATCCGAGAATATCAAATATTTGTCGTAAAAAACATGGTTTTGCGCGCTTACATTGCAAACGCTGACTAATCCTTACGAGATAGACAAAAATAATGTACTACTGGATTGTATATCTTAAAAAAATTCGCGTTGGTATATGTCTATCTCCTAAGGATAACTCCACAGTCACCATTTTTATCTTATATATATTACAAAAAAAAAGTGATGGGTTATTTACGAAGCTATTTTAAACCACACATTATTATTTCTTATCATATTAAATACGTTAGATACGTTGCGCATTTAATGTAGATTAAAATTGCTCATTACAGCTTATTATTAAAATGAATATTTTAGAAGATATTAGAGGGTTAAAATGCGGGGGCAAAGTGGACTTGTCGCCGCGTCGGGTCGTACGTCTGTCCCAGGTGGTACTTAAAACAAATAAGCCACACAAATGGAACGGTCACTTTGTGCTATCTCTAATGAGGTAGTATCTTAACTCCACATTCGTAATTTTGTTTATGCATCTTTGTTCTATCTCCATTCAAAAATGGTAAAATAAAGTATATTTAGCCATCAGTACATGAAAATTCTAACGATCAATTCATTGGTAACTTAGGTATTAAGAAGACTTTCAAATCCTGAAACTATGCCTTTTTGTCAATAGAGCAAGAAAAAACTTCGTCCTGTAATATTTACCCGATGGTAGATAGGACAAATAAGTACTTAGGCGATGAATTGTTTGATTTGATTAGATACCTAGGGTGTCATTTTATTTCAATTTTTTTCTACTTGAAAACCACGGAAGCATCATAAAGTTCATTCTCCCAGATAATAATTATTCTTTTAAGATTGCTTGAAATGATTTTTTTAACCAGCTGTGCCTCATAATGTGGAGATTTAGACCAGGGAAAGTTAAGTATGGGATTTGCTCTAACAAAAAAATACGTATTAAGGCTGTCTGATTCCAAACTATGGTAACCTATGGTAACATAGTGAACTGAACCGACCACTCTTTGTAGACTTTGTAGAGGATGCCTGAAAACAGAAGAAACGGCCGCCCACGTAATCCTGAAATGCGAGGGAGTAGCCACACAACGGGCAAGTACCATACCTGGTACGAAATCGCTCCTAGAAGCCTGTGAACGCCCCAGGAGGCTTCTGCGCTTCTGAAAGGAGCTTGTTTGGCTCACCTAGCCAAACTTTTCTAGACATATAAAGGACCAATACCGCGTAATGAAATGATGACGAAATGATATTTATTTTTGCAAGTAAATCTTTTCAGATATTTTTACAAGTCGAACTTTATAGCTAGAAGGCATTTCCTAAGACTCGCTCTGGGAAGGAACGCCGAAATAAATCCCCGAGGTGTCTTTTTTAAAGAGAACTATGTGAGTGCAGTATAGGGTCTGGGTTGGCCTTTTGAAGAAAGTACCATAGTGTTGAGTCGGTCCATCCATACAGATGGCATACGAGCCCCAGCCATTGTGTAGCCTAACCGATATAGTCAAGATTAATAACCGGAACCCGACACTAATGCAGGACAATTCAAAACACTCAAAACCACCAGAAAGTTGTTAAAATATGAACTAACATTACAAGCCTACAGTATACTCAAATGTACATACTTATGCAAAAAAATATAGGTACTATACAATTCAATTTCAAATAAACAAATTGAAAACAAACGAAGTACGAATAACGACAAAAAATTAAATGTTTATCACTTTCAAATGTGGGAGTGAGCAGCATCAATCCCAAGCAAATTTGTCGTCTAAATAATCTCGGTGAAAAGCTACGAAGAATTGCTTAACACCTTTTAACACCATTGGTTTTCTGTAAGTCTGTAATATTTTTCGGTTAAGCCGGCCCATTATTGAAAAGTTCATTGTTTAACCTAGGGGTTATGTAACCAAAGAATTGTAAATAAAACTTTTATGTAGAATATCTTTAGTTTATTGCCTGTTCATCTTCACAGGATTGACTTTTGGAACAGGCAACTGACTTTTTCTTACCAAACGCCACTACTGACGATTTAAAACTCTATAATATTTGCTTTAAAAAAACTACGTTCTGCTTGCTGAACTATTGAAGGCTAGTAAAAGCAAGTTAGCCACATTTATTTATTAACTAACAGTCTGGCTTATAGGTAAACATAAGCCCAGCAGAAGACTTCATTGGTTTAACGTTTCTACTAAACACATTTAAATAGCATACCGTTCAAAATCATGTCGTATATGTACACGAGATAATGTTGATTTTGAATAAACATTTTATTGAAATATGTTTATGAGATACATAAAAATTATTGTAAATGGAGTTGCACAACGGAAGTTATTACACGTTGTTGATTGTTTCTGGACAGATTGGTCACGAGTTAAATTTGAAAAATCAAACAATATGGATTTAAGTTGTTGCATTTGCATATTTGTTTTAAGTCATTTTGCATTTGGGAGTTCAAACGAAGACGAAGCAAATGAAGAGAGCAACATTAATAAATTATCGCATAAAGAAAGTTCTGTTAATTCCAATTCTGGTATGACTGCTTTAAAAACAAGAAGTCGTTAAACAATTGTATCGTTTTATGCCCAGAAAGTAAAGAGGTATGTGATGGCATTCAACTTTTTTTACAGTTGCATTCGATGAGCCAGTGTCAAGTGGTAAAGCTGCTGCAGAAACTAGGGGTTCTCAATCATCATCAGGGGAGCTCCCTAGGTACAATGGAGGTTCGGGTAAGTTGGCCTTTTAACCAGTACGGAGTATTTGTGGGCTATGTTTACGGTACTACTACGAGTAAGGGATTGCTCCTCCTCCAACAATTTTAATTGATAGCTGAGCTCTGTGGGTAGGTAGAAAAAATGAATCAATTTTGTGCTATTTGTGCTCGGTACACAATTACTACAGTTGGTTTCAGTATGTACTATATATACACAGTACCATATTTTTTTAAATCAATTATGCTATGTAAATTACTATATAAGCTTTCAGATGTTACAGTTATGCATAAACATCATTAGACGCTGGACAATGAACTCTTATTTATGCACTTTGTGACCCTTATTTGTGGATGTCCTTTTCACACTCTAGTTTCTACATAGTTGGTCAATAAATGAGGTTGAATTTATTTTGACCTAATAGTCTTTATCGGTAACATAATAAGTCTTATATCTGTGTTAATACTGTAAACGGAAAGTAATTCTGTCTGTTTATTTAAACCCTATACGAACCCGTTTGGCAAGCGTGTTATAGTAGTTATAGTGTGTTATAATTTAAACCTCCTTTCTAAGGAGAGGCCTATGTCCAGCAGTGGACTGTTAAAGGCTGTTGATGATGATGATGATGTTATAGTAGGAGGAAATCTTATTTCTAAGGAGAGGAGAGGATGATGATTTTCACACATTTGACACGATGTAGTAATTTTGATGATTTCAGGTTTAGAACTAGAGGTGTTGTTTCAAAAGAACATAGACAACTTTTAATGGCGAAATATAACTAGAAGTTAGTGGGATAAAGGGTGAGGTTTTGTAAGGCAGAAATTCTACGCAGACAAAGATATATGCTTTTATTGTATAATAATGTATCTGGGCATTCTAACAGTATCTATATGTCCAGGTGGAGATGGGACAGTTCAATCGAGACAAAATGGATCAGAGACGAGCTCTGAACTTATATCAGACGATATCTCTAGAGACAGTGGTTTGAGTAAGTCATGTTATATCTAGATACTATATAGCATATACTTTTTTATGGTATTAGAGTCCCCTCCCAGTAACAGAGGAGGAGGAGGGGAGTTGGGCTCCCCGATTACGATATAATATTAGTCTCCCTACAAGCTTATTGCCATCCACCAATCACATATATTTCTAAATACATTCATAAAATCACATCACATCACATCAACAGCCTTCAATAGTCCACTGCTGGACATAGGCATTCATAAAATATATATATATATATATATATATATATATATATATATATATATATATATATATATATATATATATATATAAGAGATTTCCACGTATATAGTCACTCATCACGATATCTCTGGAACCATTAGAGCTAAAGACTTGAAATTTGGTAGGAATATTCTTTTCACCGAGTAGAGGTCAGCTAAGAACGGATTTTAAGAAAATCAAAAAAATAATAATAATTAAATAATGTAAATAGCAAAACAACGTTTGGAGGGTCAGCTAGTTATAGATAAATTACACAGAACAAATGATGGTGCTCTCACACTATATTTGTCCTGGGTGGAACACACGAACTCCGGCTTAGCAGTCAGGATCGCTAACCACTTGACCAACAGGCCCGTCAAAATTTAATTTTTAGTACATTTTATTTATTAACCGTAGGTGTCAACACTTTTTCTACATACAAATTTTAGGTATTCAAATTGTAAAATTCTTGCGTGAGTGGAATCTGTTATTAGACTAGTAAACACCTGATCGAATTTCAAAGTACATTTCATAATTTGTTTAATGTTGTATGTATCTATTTCGAAAAAAAATATGTAAGTATTCTTTCAGTCAATCTAGGTTTCATAGCTCTGCTTAGTTTGAAGCTAGATTGCGTTGTGTGTTAGATGTCCGAATATATATTATTATAAAGTATTAAATCTACAGTATGAAGTTGTTGATTTGTTTACAAAAAATACTGTTATAAATAGACACCTGACCGAATTTCAAGTATATTTCATAATTTGTTTAATGTTTTCTTGTATTCATTTCTAAGAACTATCTTTCATTAGAGTTTCTGTACTATGAAAGGTGTGTTTGGGGCCGTTTTCATATAGTTTTTAAATGTATAAAATATATTGTTTAAAAGAGTTTCTTTTTCTTAACTTTTCTACATGTTATGAACTTTAAGTATTCCATTGCTTGAAATATGATTATAAAAGGGTATATAGAATTATCTTAAATAAATTAGTTAAATATGTGGGCCGTTGCACATTCAGCAACAAAAGCTAGAGAAGACTACTTGTCGTTTCTATTGTCTGAATAAATATATTAAGATTTATTTATTTTTGAAACAAATATTTTATCTTTTATGTAATCGATTTAAACAGTATGTTTAGAGTACATTTTCACAGATAATTGGTTAAATATCGATATGCTCTGAATTCAGGTGGAGAATTCATGAAACACTCAGGTATGATATGTATAGTTAATTTGTCGTTATTTTAATTTGATTTAACACACTAACACTGAAACGATTCAGATGAAATTTGATATAGAGATAGTTTGAGTTCCGGAAAAGGACATAGGATAGTTTTTATCTCATTAAACTGTGTTTCAAAGATCTAATTTAAGCTACACTTTTAAACATTTTCTACAAGCATTTTATCAATTTCAGGTGATGGAGGTAAGGAATATATTAACTTCAGAAGTATGATAGAAAACTAATTTAAGAATTTTTTTTTGTATTTTTTCTTTATTTTATTTAATTTAGTTATTGATTCTTTACTTACTATTAAGAGAAAAAATTAATACAGTATAGTATATAAAAACTTTATCTATAAACGATCTAAAACTACACTCTGACATAGATATAGTACTAAGACACAGTATTAAGTGCATAGATAATACTTTATTTGTACACCAGAGTTTTTACAGACATTATAAATGATTATATATCGACGGATACGATGATTCCCGGGTCGGACCAAATGTTTGTATGATCTACAAATATTTGTTTCGGAGTTTGGGTGTTTTCTACGTATAATATGTATCTATTAAATCTACAGTATGAAGTTGTTGATTGGTTTACAAAAAATACTGTTATTAATAGCCTCTATGTGATCAAAATTTAAAATCTAAAACTTAAATTAGTTACTTGAGACTTTAAACTTAATTTGTTTTATTAAAATGTAAAATCATTGATTTTTACGACTTCTCTTAGCTAAGAGTATTACTAGCTTTGCGCGCGGCTTCTCTTGCGTTTGTGTCGGTTATCGCGGTAAAAAGTAGCCAATGTTACTCGCTGTTTATGTAGCTTTCCATTGCTTAAGAAATAAGATTTGCCCCAAGTACATGATTTGTTGTTATAAAGTCCACAAATTATTTCATTTGTATTATTAGTAGATTAAAATCACTGACACACTTTTGAAGTCGAATCGCCGAAATTTGGGACTACGGTTGTTAGCAAATCATCTTCTTCTATGTTTAATGAAAATCTTTGTTAAAAGTAATAATTCCTTTTAGCATTGAACAATGATAAAGCCATCGTTTACCAGTGGTGGAATGGAATCGTCCCGTATTATATCGACAAAGAAAGCTATGGTAAATCCCATTTATTTATCTATGGTCTATCAGCAGCGACACTAAGTTGAATTTTAGGGCAATGTAGCTATGAAATACAATAATCAAAATATTTAATACAAATAATATAAGATTTATTTTTCATCAATATTATACTGTGTCCAGACCACATTCCCCAAAAAAAGAGAAAATAAAATATTTCAATAAATAGTGCAGATAGTCTGTCTCTGTATTAAATCGCCAGAAGTAGAGATAGTCTTTCGCATAATTAATCTCAGAACTCTATGGTCCAAGGAAAAAATAAGTGATATACCACTATCTCGTTCTGCAAGGAGCAACTAATGGACTTATTGAAGAGAAAACAAGTCCACAAACAGAAAACCATACGTAACTGTTCCGAAGGAGGACTTTGACAGAAGTCTTTGTTTTTTTCGGAAAGTCACGTTTATTCATATGCCGCTACACTGTCAAGTGCCTTCACCGGTAAGCGCTGTACAGTGCAGCGGCATATCAGAGGTTAGATGACTCAGTGGTTTAAGCGGTCGCCTCGCCGCTGGCTGCTACGCTGAGTGTTGTGGGTTCGATCCCCACATGGGACGACACTGTGTGATTCACGAATTGTTGTTCTGAGTCTGGGTGTTCTATCTGTCCGTTTAATGTATGTTTGTAAAGTCCCCCGCGACACGGGATTTTTTCCTAAAGCGAGAGATATTTAAAAAAAAAAGAAATTACATAAAACAAAACAATACCTTAAAATAAGTATTATCTAGATATAATTTGAAAGCAAGCCCTTCCAAATACGAAAGTTGACCAATTAATTAGAAACGAAATATATCATACTATTTAATTACATGAAATAGCTAGTTTAAAGCAGTTTGACGGATAGATAAATATGTTAAGTATATAGCGATGTATGTATAATCTGTAATTCCAGATGAAATAATAGTTGACCGAATAGATGCTGCAACAAAAATTATCGAAAAAGAATCTTGCATACAATTCTTGCCACTAGATGATAAAAAAAAAGTGTACAAGTATGGAAAATACTTCTTGCATTTTACTAATCCTGCCAAGAAAAGAGAATGTGTGCATACAGTAACACGAGGGAGCGCAGGAGAGCCAGTAAGTTTATATAAACGTATTAGTCGTTGCTTTAAAACTTCTGAAAGTTTTTTCTACATAAATACGTTATTAGCTATTGCCAGTGGCACCGCTCGCGTGATTACTTTTTATTCCATGTTGCTAATTTGGAAATGACGATATTCCATACTACCGTCCATCTCTTATTTTACCTCTTTAGGGGGGAAATTTCCAAAAATCTTTTATTAGTTTGTGCTGCCGTCATAAAAAGCATCAGCTATCAAAATTTCAAGTTTGTAGCCACAGCGGTTAAGCCTCTGTGTTGATGAATCAGTCATATTACAGATTACAATCACTCGATACTACAAGGTATCTTTCCACTTTCCACGTGAGCTGAGGGCTTCATATTTTTAAGTGTTGAGTAAGTAAATACTATACACGTACCTTACCGCCTTTGTAAACGAACAATCGTTACTAGTGAGCGGTGGTTTCACTTGTATGCCGTATTTTACAGTAAACAGATGTTATTATGCGTTTTAAAAAGGAAATGTTAAATTTTAATAAGTTAACTTTTCATTTATAATATTTTCTGAGTCAGAAAAAATAAAAACTTAACCAGACTGCTAAGCCAGAGGTCGTAGGTAAGATTTCCAGGACAAATAGTTGTGCGATGAGCATGGTCATTTTTGTTCTGTACCTAGGTATAATTTGTATGTATTTAGTAATATATGAGTATGTTTATCAGTATTCTGGTTACAAAGGAACTTTTGGGCAGCATTTTGTGCGTTGTGTTTTTTTAATTTTTTTAGTAAAGAAAATTTATTTAATGGCTAGAGCGTCGGACTTGGTTTTATAGTCAGATGAAGCCTAAAATATGCGCTTTAGCTTAGCTGGAACGGTTCATTTGTACTAAAATGTGATATTATATATATACTTATATGTGATATTATTATATTCTTATATTGACACGAATAGTGATTTTACAACTAATTTATGTTAATACTTCGCCACTATAGTCCATTCGCAATAAGAAAATAGTGACGCATCGATCAAGTTCCGATTCCTAACCAATCAGGTTCCAAACTTTCGTACGAAACGATAATTTCTTGCATCCTGATTGGTCAGGGCGCGGGGCTAGATCGATGCGTCATTTCTTTTTAGCGCGAATGGACATGCATAGTTTAAAATTAATATATTTTCAGACATTGGTATTGGGTTACGATTGCATGCGGGAGCCAGACATTATTCACGCATTGATGCATTTACTTGGCTTCAGAGACGAGGTGACGCACCCTCTTCGGGACTCTTATATACGAGTTTTATGGGAGAACATACAACCGAGTGAGAATTGATGTTTTTTTATTATCATATTCTCATTCTCTCTCTCATATTTATTTACAAATATGAAGTTTTTTTTTGCAATAATATTAATTTTTGATAGCGTTTGTGCACGATCGAATTCATTATAAAAGATTCAAATTTAATAAAGGACAAGAGGGATACTTTTAATTTAGCATGACTTAAAACTAGACTTGCAACGTATATTCGGTTACTATTCGGTATTCGGCCTATTCGGCTGCTTTTATTATATTCGGCCGAATACCGAATATCTACATATTATTCGGCCGAATACCGAATACTTAAATAATATATTTTGTCATTGAGAAATAATTGGTAAAATGAAAAATTAAAATCGATTGATTACGTATATATTCATATTTTCATTTCTGTTATAATCATTTAAGTAGTCATTGGTGCATAACACAGGTACATAATCATCTTCTGAATTGGAAAAATAGAGGATTTTATGTATTTGAATTATTGTGGTAATCAAAATTTAGAAGGGTAAGGTTCTTATTTCTTTTATAATCATTTATTAAGTAGTCATTGGTACATAAAACAGGTACATAATTTAATTCACGTCTGTACAAGTTTTTGGCGCTAAAATCCAGCCGAATACTTTTGCCTAATATTCGGCTATTCGGTCAGGGGCCTCGCCGAATATTCGGTATTCGGTATACTGCCGAATATACTATTCGTTGCAAGTCTACTTAAAACCTGCTTGCTATTAATTTTTAAAATATCCTAATTTCATATTTCGAACGCAGTTCTATATTTGTAGATCTTTAATCAAGAAAGTAATTTTATAGAAGTCATTAGATAGTTTACAACATTTTTAATGTTTTTAAAGTATGTTAATGTTTTTCGCTAAAAGGCGGTACGCTTGTCAAACAGTTAAGTTTTTAAATATTTTTTTTATGATATAGGAGGCAAACGAGCAGACGGTTTACTTGATGGTAAGCGACTTCCTGCGACCCAAAAGTCAGAAGTGCGATTCTTGGGGGGAGGACTCAAAGGGCACTTTAATACAATTTATCACGATTTAGGTAAATTGAAGTCATTCCTGTACTCTTTCCATCCTGTAAGAAATAACAAAAATCTCCGTAGAGGTCTGCATTCAGTGATTAATGAGACTTAGAATGGTATAAGATTATTTTGTCTTAATTTAATCGATAACGGAGTTGACATATTTTTTAGAGTACCGTCATTTATTTACAATTACAAAGTTGCCGCCATACCGTGAAGTGGGCGAGTATGACATGATGAGCATCATGCACTTCCACAACCGGGCATACAGCATTAATGGTGCTCCTACTACTGTTCCTTTGGTAGGTACCTACAATTATTTTATGGTAAAAGGGGCAAACGAGCAGACGGGTCACCTGATGGTAAGGGACTACCGCCGACCATGGACTCCTGCAACGAGAGTCACAAGTGATTTGAGTCCCTTCCCTTAGACGAGGAGGCGGGGAAGGGGGGGGGGGGGGGCTCCGGTAACTCACTCGGTGAAAAGCAACGAAATAAGTATGTAATTCCGGTTTTCTATGCGGCCGTTCTATTACTCCGGTCGAGCCTCCCATTTGTGCTGAAGCATGACTCTCCCACTGTGCTCTTGTGACAATACTGATTACAATTACAATAGGCTCGATTGAAGTGGAACAAAACACCACCAAATAGTATAAAACAGTTGGTTGTATGAAATCGCTGGTATCATAGGGCACGCTCCGAAAAATCGTTTTACTAATACCGGCTGCAACTTTTCGGGATCGTTCCACGCGATAAATCATCCGTCTTCACTTGGATAAAAGGGACTCCATCCATGTGCTCTTTTAGCCTTGAAAAAAACCTTTTAACCTTGTAGAAATAGTATATGAAACAAATTGTCGCGCGTGATATTGCTCGACCACTACTACTTCCAAACCTTAAAAAAAGACCTAACTCTCACTTCGAAGGACGGCAACGTGGCTCTTGAGATAGTTGCACACGTCGATGGTCCTTTGCTTTGTATATCTCAAAAAAACATTATTTTTCATTAATTAATTTTACAAAATAGAAATGTGCTCAAACATTACTATGGTATAAAAATCACATAAACTTAAATGCGAGTATCAACATACAATCCATAATTGGACGATCTATATTAAATGCACAACATATTATATCCAACGTATTTAATTAGATAAGGAATAATACTGTGTTGTTTACAATAGCTTCGTAAATAGCTTGTTATCTTTTAGTAATATGTAACAGATAAAAATGGTAACTGTGGGTTATTTTAGGAGATAGACATACACAATTCTAGATTTTATTGTAGATCTTATTAAAGTTTACAATTCCGTAGTACCTACATTATTTTGATCTATCTCGTAAGTTTTAGCAAGCCTTTGCAATGCACAAAAACATGTTTTTTACGACAACACATTACACAGCATTGAATTTATCATATTTTATCTACAATAATATGCATGTAATGAACATATAAACTCTTCTCTTGAATCAGTCTCTCTATTGATAAAATTGCATTAAAATCAGTTGTGTAGTTTGAAAGATCTAAGCGTGCAGAAGCGGGAAGACTTCATTTTCTACCATGTAAAGGTGCCCAGTGTTTTTCTGTCACAAATAGAGGAAGTTTCATTGTACCTATCAATAGGCACTCGGTACACAAACACTCGACTTTGACAACGATATTTCGCTAAATATTTAACACCCATCGTCGCCAAAATGAGAAAGCAATTAATATTCATTGTAAGAATTCAGAATGATGTATTTGTGGTCAGAATAAGCATTATGGACATAACACCCGATGGATGTGCAGTTGCTTTTAGCACTGTACCACATTATGGACAGCAGGTCTTAGCTTCTTATACTTTATACAATTTCTGAGAGACACTAAGTACCTACTATAAAACATGGAGTTGAAAAATACCTTACATTTTTTTACATTATTTACAGATACCAGGAGGATGGATAAATCCTTCGAACCAATTATCTCTCATGGACAAAATGAAGCTTCGCTTAGCATTTAGACATGAATGTAATAGGCGTAAAGTTTCCAACCTCTTGGGGACCTGTATGAATTCTATACAGGGTGACCGCACCACAGGATGTTCAAGTGGTAGCGAAACTGACAGAGGCGCTTCAAGCGGTAACACTGGCGCTTCAAGCGGTAACAGTGGCGCTTCAAGCGGTAACAGTGGCGCTTCAAGCGATAACACTGGCGCTTCAAGCGGTAACATTGGCGCTTCAAGCGGTAACAATAGCGCGTCAAGCGGTAACAGTGGCGCTTCAAGCGGTAACACTGTCGGTTCAAACGGAAAAGATAAAAGCGGTGGTTCAAGCGGAAGCGACAAAAGTGTTAAATTTATCGAAAGTGGTGAAAGCAAACAAAAATCTTTAATCGGAACCGATAATGACAAAATAAAAGCTTTAAGCGAAACTGATAAAGACAAAAGAGGTGCTGTAAGCAGAGGCGACAAAAACAAGATTGGTGGTTCGAAAGGCTTTAAAAAAGACAAACAGAGTTGGACTTGGTCTTGGCATTGGTCAAAAGAGTTTTTGGGATAGTTACAGAAAACGTATGTATTGATTATAGATATGTGTTAAATAAATTATAATTATAGCAACATTAACAAAAACTATAATTGTTTTATGTATTTGTGTAAATATTTTAAAATAATCCCTAACTCGTACTCGTATCTCACACGACTTCTTTACAGCATTATCATTCATGCATGAGGCGTTGGCAACAAGAGTTTGGCTTACACAACATACGGCCATTTTTTTATGAGACATTGCCTTGTCCAGTCCATCAAGTCAAGTCACATCAAAGTACAGTTTGCACTATCTAATCTATTAAAAAAAGGCCTCTCTGAGGACGTAAATTGGCCGTTTCATGATCGGTAATATTCTTATTCGAAAATATAAACACCACTTATATCAGATTTACACAACGACAAAGTGTTGCTTAAAATAAGTTCACATGAAAATTATTATGTTCCTATAGTATTCTTCTTCCTCAATTTTCATCCTTAGGGACGGAAACGGCAATTATACCATTGAAATAAAAAATTAAAAATCGGTTCTTGTGTGAGTGAGTTCTAAGGTAACAAGCATAAAAAACAGTCTAAATTAGAATATCCTCGTTTTTTTTAAGTTTGTTTAAAAGGTTAAATACTGATAGACAGTCTGCAAATGTATGGCGTATAGAGAAGACAACAAAAGAGACATGGACTGTAAACATTCTGCACGGTATTGTATTGTAGTCTCACAGAAGTACTAGATAGTACCATTAAAGCCCTTTCAACTGTGAAGGACCAATACAGATCGCAACTGACTTCTTTCGAATCACTTTTTTTGAGTTTTGAATTTGAAGCTACAAGGCGGCGTTATAATTTCAATTTGTGAATTATGGATGACAATTATCAGGTACAGGTGTAGGTATCTTTTATTTCCCTCTAAACATGTATCTATCGGTATTTTCGCATAATTTCCAAACGTATCTACACTACACGGACGCTATCTCTCAAGTAGTGTGCTTTAGTGCTCAGATCGCTCTAAGTTTTAGCTATAAAGCAGAGGTTATTTTATGACCGAGGAGTCTTTATAGGTTAACAGTGAAATAATGATCAATTTTCATTTTCCTGAATTTACTATATTTATTTATGTGTAATTCCTAGTTTCACACCCGCAGCTTCAGCTTCTCTTCTCCTGAGCTCGCATTGACTCTTGTACAGATAATTCAGTTTCTGAACATCTACTGAGCTTAAACCTTGCCAGTTGCCCATGGCCCAACCATCATTCTGTAAAAAAATAAGTTATTTAACGTCGCGACAAGACTTACATAAAATGTAAAGATTTCCAAATTGTTCTAACAACTGAGGTATATTAAAAACCATCCGAAAGCATTTGACGTAAGGTAGGTTTCAGCCTTTAACAGTCCATTGCTGGACATAGGCCTTTCCTTAGATAGGAGGTTTTGGCTTACTATACCATTATGGCCAGATGGTTTGGTATAGGGTTTGTGCCAAGTGTTTCTTCCTTCTGCATTGCTGTTGGCCTGAGTAGTTGGCTCCATTAGTCGGCTCTTACGACACCCACGGGATAAATAGGGGTGGTGACACTCCGTATTCTTAATCCTTCACCACACGGATGACTAGTTATTACTCTAAATTTAAACGAATCGACGAAAAATGTTCGGGTAGGCAACCTGAGTTTTCGATAAGGCGGTGCGTTGGACTCGAACCGACGTAAATCCCTGCCCTACTGTGCCTAAAATAGGAGGGATCCGGGAACATATTTTTAATAAGACACCCGGATCCTTCCTACAGTCTAAAATTTATTAATTAATTAGTCAAATCCTAACGGCTGGCCAATGTGGTGGATAGAAGGGAAAATCCGTCCTTTCCTCCCGCAGCAACAGTCAAGACGGTGTGACTTCAATAAGGACCCCTGAACTGATCCTAAGGGTGATGTTAAAAAGCTATTGGTCAAGATTAGGGTTGATGATTTTTTTATAAATCTAAGTTTTGCTTTCAGAGATAAACATGTTTAATTAAAAACTCTTCTACTATGTTATATTAGAAAGAATGTATACATTTATCTTACTCTCCTTTCTCAGGAGAGACCTATGTCCAGCGTTGTTAGTGGACTTTAAAGGCTGTTGATGGTGATGATGATGATCTATGACTATTATATACTGATAGATATAATAGGATATAATAAATAAATAATAATACTTTTTATTGACATAGAAAAAAAGTACAATGCTTACATACATACATATTATCACAACAGCATCAGTGAAAACTTAAGCAGTCGAGCTTTGGTACCCATTGTAAGATTTAACTTGAGTCATGGGTACCAGTTCTTCTCACAGATGTAGACTTATGATAAGACGCGTATGTGCGTGCGTGTGTCTCTTTCTGTGTGTTGTTGTGTGTGTGTGTGTGCGATTGTGTGTGTGTGTGTGTGTGTGTGTGTGTGTGTGTGTGTGTGTGTGTGTGTGTGTGTGTATTTAATTTTATAGCACTGTGAGTCTCATTAGCTTCTCGGTTGTGTCGTAATCCTGTTCAAGTAACTAGTTATATATATACTCGTATATATATTATATACTGATAGATATAGATGATAGGTAGGAACGGTAGCATGTCGTAAATTAACTTACAAGTATTATGGTACGTCCGTTCATCTGTATAGTAACTAACAGATGTACTTGAGTTTTCCAGGGATGTAATGAAAACTCTTTTATAAAACTTCGTAAATGTTTTCTACTGTAGAGCTTGCCAAACAATTAGAAAAGATACGCGTTTTAAAAATACGTCTGCCCCTCCAGTGCCAGTCAAGTACAAAGATTATATTATATGCTAAAAGAATATTGTAAAATATTACCCAGATGGGGTACATGATATTACTTCGTCCATTCTTGATCTGCAGCCAGGGGTAGTGCATTACGCTTTGGTAATCGTAGGCGAAACCTGCAGATGCTGCTGGTGGTAACTTATCTTGCATTTCTTGTTTTACATCTGAAATCATTCATTTCAATTTGTTGAATGGAGACTACAGCAGCAGCTAGTGACCCAAAGCCAAGGACATATTATTTAAAATCCTTTGCCTAGTTCGTAAGATCTAAGCGTACAAGAAAAAAAAGGACTTCATTTTATACTACTTAGGGATGGTTCTTTTTATTTTCAGTGTTAAGCCAGTGATACTTTTATTCAATACTAGCTATTGCCCGCGGCTTCGAACCCGTGTTTATTTCTATTTTTCCTTATTTTACCACTTTAGGGGCCAAATTTCCAAAAATCCTTTCTTAGTGGGTGCTTACAACATAAAAAAGCATTAGCTCTCAAAATTTAATGTTTGTAGCCCCAGCGATTTAGGCTCTGCGTTGATACATCAGTCAGTTAGTCAGGGTAAGTAATTTCATATATATTATATATAAAAATGCATGCAAGTAACTTGAATAAAAAGTATAAAGGTAATTAGGAATCTGAATTGACTTACCTATTGACTAAGAACTAGACCTTACCTTCAGTGAGTTGGTCCCAGACTATGTGAAGAAATGAATCTCTATCGTGGCTATTGTGCTGATGGTCCAGTCCCAGTAAGTGGACGAATAGGTGCAACAGAACGTTGACAGAATTGAAGCAATCGGCGTTTATCTCAATTGTCTATGAGAAAAAAACGCTCATTAGGTAAATTATTATAGCCTTTAGTATATAACTAAATAACCTTTGATGGAAAAGAACTTAATAATTAAGGTAATTTTTATATATTTAAATTTAATTTTTTATGTTACAATTTATTATTTAAAGTCTATTTACGGTGAAAGGATTAGTACGTCTTTCTACACGTACTAATCCTTTCACCGTAAATAGACCAAGGCTATGGCTTTGGTTCACCAGCCAGACCAAAGAAATGGACCAAGCAAGTAATTACAGATCAATCTCATGATTAAGCGGAATTGGAGTATGCAGCCTTGAGCTACATAAGCACTAAACTGTACTGGTTATTGAGACAGAAATTAGGTTTTCATATATTTATACGAGTACATTAGTATAACTACTACTTGTCCGTGTGGTGACGGATTAGGAATACGGAGTGTCACCACCCCTGTTCATACCGTGGGTGTCATAAGAGACGACTAAGGGAGCAAACTGCGCAGGACAACAGCACTGCAAAGAGAAGGAAAACTTGAAACAAACCCTATACCAACCCGTCTGGCCAGCATGGTATAGTAGGCCAAAACCTCCTTTCTAAGGAGAGGCCTATGTCTAGCAGTGAACTGTTAAAGGCTGTTGATGATGATGTTGATGAGTATAACTACTACACTAGTAGAACTACTTGCTTGGTCCATTTTTATCTAGATACCATATAATTTCATGGTTTTACAGGCATAAATAAGATAGGACAGTAAAATGAATGCATTTCACCTTACCTCTTACGCAGCTTTTTCGTAATGTTGAGATTATTCAACATTCAAACTAATCTCAAGAACTATTTGAAAATAAATTTTCCTGCTCCTAATTTCTTTACAATCGGTAATTTTACCACATCAGAAAAAGTTAGCAATAAATAACATTTAGCAATATTAATAAAAGTATGAAAACCTTTTTTTCCTACTAATGGCGGTGTTGCCTTCCAGTTTTATTTAATTTGCCGCGTTTTGCTGAAAGGTTGAACTTTCGTTATCCCGACTCTACAACTGAGATCCCATAGTTGTTACATGTGCAAAGTGCCTTGCCATTTTTGATAGTGCACATTCAGGATGAGACAGTTCTGCTAATTCTGTTGTTCGAAAACTCTTTAAACTAAACTAAAAATCACTAAAAATCTGTTTAACATTGTCAAACAACGTTTTGTATTCTCAAACGACTTAAGTATTCTTTTTCTTTTTTTTTAACAAATCCCGCATTAGGAATATGTCCTGTGTCGCGGGGACTTAAACAAACATATATAAAATGGACACAAAGAACGTTATCTAAATACATGGCGACTAAATAGGTATAAATTCTTTTAATTTTATAGATTATTTTTTCTGATGAATAGCGATTACATGTTTTGCCACTGGTCAGTTTAGCGGAATCGCATGGGCATCATATTTTTCATCTTAATCAGAATTACAATACATTTTTTATCTGAATTATCGTATCATAGCCTAGGTCTGGAGCTTAGCTTAGAGAAACTACTCATCACATTGAATTTATTTTTAGGTTTTACCTGCATTCAATTTTTTTTCTCAAGGCAGTTACCAAGCTGCTGCAAGCTAGACAATTTGACAAAAAAAGAACAACAAATACCAGGGCGAGCGAAGCGAAACGTCAATCGAATGAGCGAAGAATCAATCTGTGCATTTTTGGTGGTGGTTCATGGTACTCTTTGCTGAGAAACTATCACACTTTCAGGTTTGAACCTTCACATAGTAATTTCAAGTCATGTCTGGATCTCTCATAAAAATATTATATTAAATTTAATAAAAATAGAAGATGAAATTTTTTTTATTAATTAGAATTTTATTATAAGTATTACTTCTTTCGAAAATTATAAAACTATATATTTATATTTTTTCAACTGAACTATAGCTACCTACGCCATCTGTTAGAAAACTAAAGAACTAATATCGATGTAAATAGTGTTAGTTAGTTGATTATTTTGTTAAAAAATAACTATTTTAACATGCAGCATTTACTTCCATGCAATATCCCTGAGATATTCGGTTTAGTTAAATAGATAACGAACAAGGTTTACCGTGGACTGCCAGGTATGTGAACTGAGTAAAACTGTATTTACTTAGCTATAACTGAGAAACACAACACTTTATTTACTATTTGATCTAATCTGATTCAGCAATTATAATTATTTACAGGAATTTTAAAATCCTCATCAGAATTAATATCACTTTGAAAAATATTTTTTTAATTTACTCTTTATCATTCATTCTTAGTTTTAAACAATGGTAATTTAGTTCGACTTGACAACAGAATAGCATTTTGGAAATCATCTCACTAAAATAAGAGAATTTGAGTTTAGTTGTGTCAACAACAGAATTAGCACAAGTTTTAAGTTAATTTAAAAACTAAATTTTTCTGTTACCTTAAAATGAAACTTAAAAATTAATATAAAAAAATAGAAGTTCTGATACTTAACCGTCTGAAAGAAATATTTCTCCTGATTAGTTTAAGGTAAGTTTTATCTTTAAAAGATTCACTACTGGTGTTTTTTTACCAGAAGTTTTCTCAACAGTTTTCTAAATTCTGCTCTTTGTGCCTGTCCAATTAGGGAAGATCTCGTATCTACATTTGAAAGAAGTGATGGGACTTGATGAAGTTTAGCAATGCGCAAGTGTTACTTTCAAACATTTAAGGCTGTAAATTAAACGTGTTCAACCAGCTGTTATAAAATAGCAGCATATATATTATATAAATAGGCCCAAGTATTTTCGACATTAAGATTATCTACTGCTATGAGGTTTTATTCGCGACTTCTATGTTACGAGGGAAGGTATGTAGGTATGTATATACTGAAGATGATCCGTGTGCTTTTTGCCTGTTTACAAGTACTTATATATTTTAGAAGCTAGTTGACTATAGTTCAACTAGCTCTTATAAAAATAATGCTATATTAGGATGTTATCTACTCACTATAGGATCTGTAGGCACGCCAGGAATTTTAGGACAGGCGCACCCTGGTTTTGTAGAGCGAGTGAAGACCAGGATATTAGAGGCATGTCTACGAGAAGGCGATATTGGTGGACGCGCCCGTCCGTTCGTCCCTAGTCTAGTGGACTTTGCAGACCTCTTTGATGTCTTCTTTTTGAGTTGTTTTCCTGTTGAATAGAAGAATAGAATAGAAATATTTTATAGCACGCTTATATGCATTCGAAAAACTAAAAAAACTTCATTCCAAAGTCCCTACAACAAAGAATAATCTAGTTAACTCTACGAGTGTAAGTACAAAAAATAATAAAAATCTGTTAAAGCAACAAAGGATATTTATATATTGTGTTTACTATTATGTTTAAATATTTTCATGAATCAGAGAGGCACAGTTCTATAGAGCTGTAGTTCATCATCATCAGCCTTTTTCCAGTCCACTGCCGGACACACGCCTTTCCTTAGAAAGGAGGTTTTGGCCCAACTACACCACGCTGGTCAGACGGGTTAGTATAGGGTTTGTGTCAAGTTTTTTTTCTCTCTGTAGTGCTATTGTCCTGCGCAGTTTGCTCCCTTAGTCGCCACCCACGGGATGAATAGGGGTGGTGACACTCTGCATTCTTAATCCGTCACCACACGTTGTACGACTGTAGTTCAAGTATTTCTCTATAGTTGAGTTGGCAGAGGCAAAACAGTAATAAATAAAGTAATTAATAACATTATTTACTTCTTATTTCTGACCATGTTGAGCATAGATAGAGGTAGAGTGCCATTTACCACGATTCTAACTTACTTCTTGTGCTGTTTCGACCTTCATCAGATTTTTCGAACTTATTTATTTAATAATATATTGCAAATTTAAATCACGTAAGTTTACAGTTATCCTTGTGTTTTTATGTTATATGGACGGACCTGTCGGTCTAGTGGTTAGTGACCCTGTCTGCTAAGCCGGTCGGTAAGGTCGTGGGTTCGATTCTCACGCAGGACAAATAATATTATGTGATGAGCACGGTCATTGTTTTGTGTCTGGGTGTAATTTATCTATAATATTTAAGTCTTTAGAAATATATAAGTATTTATGTTTATCAGCAGTTTGGTTCCCATAGCACAGGCTCTGCCTAGTTTGAAATCAGACGGCCGTGTGTGAGATTATCTCACACACGGCCGTCTGATTTCACACATCTCACTGAGATGTGTGAGATATATGATGCACACCACTTATCATCACATAATTCCTCACTCTATCAGTCGTCTTATTTTTATGTTTCATCTGCCAAGCTCCATTTTTGATACTACGTATTGGTGCCCGAACTCGCTTGAATGACCAGGACATATTATATACATTTTCTGACTATCCGTAAAAGAGTGCAGGCGGCCTGGTGCTTTTTTGGACCTTTTTTATTGTTTATGTCATGCAAACTTTGTCTTGAAAACATGAATCTAAGATAAAAAATAATTAATCACTTTTATATTTAACGAGTTACCTCACTAACTTTAATTTTAAATTATGTGTTTAAGCAAAGAAATGATTATATCATCTTTGATACATTTAAATTTATCCGAAGTATATGTACAATTCATGTTCACTTTAGCACTTATCAAACCCATTTCCACCACCATCAGCACAGAAATAAATTTGTTACTCTTGACACGAATTTATTGTTGCGTTACCGAAGAAAAAATGCTTAATAGGTGCTACAGTGGAGTGTAAAATAATCAAATGGGTAATGAGGTAACTTTCTTTTGTATGATCGCGTGTGTGGACGTAACCGTGTTCTTACATCATATACATTTCCACGTAACAATAAATATTTGCGATTGAAATTTCACTACTTACGAGTACATCAGTGTCGGTAACATTGGAATTAATACAGTGCTTGGTAAAGACAATCGACAAACAGTTTCTTACTACCAGAAAAGATGCAAAAAGCAGATGTCTGTTTGAATTCACAGTTGTCTAAGTACTTCGGGGAACGCATGTGGCAACGCACAACGCATTTAACCAGAACTTGGGACAAGAAAGAGGCAAAAGATTTATTAGCAATACGCTAGTGAAATTATTGTTAATTTTTTTTGACAAAACTGAACTTACTTCCTTTCGACTAAAAACAAAATATTTTTTGTACGACTAAGAATGTTTCTGACCCGAATTAAATTGAAAGACCGATTTATATCTGTTCCTGTTTATACTGCAAGAAAATCTGGTAAATTATTTCAACATCATCTCGTTTCTAAAGAGGCTATGAGAATTAACTCAATTTACTTGTCCTTGACCTGAGTCTGGTGTTATGAGACACAGAAAAGAGATGCGTGCACTCATTTCTACGATGTTAAGTCCCCTACGAAGGTCCAAGTAAACATATTTTTCTTTATATGTCGGACAATCTTAACAATAAGGGTTTAGTGAGACTAAGATATAAGTAAGATGTAACAAATATATAAAACTTTGAGTAATTTTTTCCCTTGGAAAGTCCACAAAAAATCCAATTCAAAATTTGGTCCCTAAGGCGTGTCTCGTCTTGTCTACATTGTAAAACGATTTTTTTGTGCTTTGTTAATAGCCTTACCTTTTGCAGTCAGAGACTCCTTTTCTCTTTTATAAGTTTTAGATTTCATTAAGCTATCTTTATCATCCTCAACTGCGTTGCTTTCGGACGCTTTACTAAGTTTATTAATTATCATATCGGTTTTGGAATCGTCTGCTTGCAAAGTATTTTCTTTGTTTGTTTGATTGCTTATTGCATCTTCTGCATTCAAATCAATTTCACCACTTAGTTTTAATTTCTTTGTGATTGTATTATTAGTCTTGCTATTATTATTTGACTCGACACTGTTATCTGACTCATTGCTAGAGTCAGAGTCTTGTGTAAGGTCTCTGAATTCTATGCAAGTCTCCATTTCTATATGATGTATAACTGCACGTATATTTTCTTTCTCATCGCTAGCTGTGAAATTAAATTAGTTAATCTAAAAATATTAAAAAGGTAATAAATGTATATATTAAATAGATATATCATCATCAGTCTATCGTCCTCCAAAGAGCGCCAAGTATCTCAGTCGTAGGCACTCCTTATCCATACAGTCATTCAATATATGATGTGACGAAACCGGTTCACCGGCTCCTTGGGGATGCCAACGTGACGATGCATGCGGTGTTTTCAATTGCAGTAAGTTATGAAAATGTGAGTAGACCATTGCGGGAGAATGGAGACATTATATTACATATCAAGAGGATCAGGCTGAACTGAAGATTGATTAGCAGTTTCCGCTATCTTCCATGAACACATTATAGTTAGAAAGCTTGCTTCATAATGAACACCTTATTGTCTCATCGAAGAGCACAAATCCAATTGTGTTAATTGGCCCAAATTTATGTTAGAAAAGTTCGAATGAGAAACGTCACAAAACGTAGCCTACAACTAAATACATCATTACAAGTGACGAATTCGAATTATTTTACGAATGGGTGTTTAAAGAAAATGAGTTGAAGACAAAAGTTGTTCGCAATCACAATGTTAACTTTTTTTACTGTTTTTTAGCAGTAATTCCACTAGAAGACCGTAGAACAGTGAAATGTATAGCGAAGTTTGTCTCAAGCTTTGGGACAGTTGAATAGCCAGCAACCAAATAGCGGTGTTTGTGAGATTCTTTTTCACCAGGATAACGCTCATAAAACTGCTAGAAGCATGGATTAATTTTTTGAAAATTTCGGGGTGTACAAATACTAACCCATCCTCCATACTATACATATTTAGCTGAATTGGATTTTTTTTATTTTTCCACGTAAAAACAATGCTTTGTGGGTGGAAATTTAACATTGCAGAATAGGCCGTCGAAGAATTTCGGATCATAGGAGATAGGTTTATTTTTTAAATATTTCGAAAGCTGGTTATAGCTTTATAAAATATGCACTCGGGTCAAGTGCATATTTTATAAAGCTATAAATATACTTCTTTCACATCATAACTATTTTTCATTTTACTAACAATTTTTGGTACAGCCCACGTGTAGTGTCTGTTCCTGTCTTATACATTACATTTCAGAACCAGGTTAAGAAACTTTACAATTGCAACTTTTTTTGTATGTTCGTAAGTATTACCCCATCAAACTCTGAAAAGGAGTTAGGAGCGAGATCTAAAATGATCCAAACATGGCCGCTGTCACAGATATAGAGGTCGCTAGTAATTTCGTAAACATTAGAAAACTGTAAACCTAAGATTTGTTTTAGAGAATAGTATATTATTGATTTATAATTAGTTTATTGAATTCCAAAGATTTCTTTCTTTTTCTTGTACTCTCTAATTGAAAATAAAGAGAAAGAGAAACAAAAAGTATCAAATAGTTATTGAAATACCCTCCTGCAATGCAATGAACAGGATTAACAGTCAGGATTAAGAATCGTCAACTTACTGAACTCCATACTATCTTTTATTTGGTAGTTAACAAATCCGTATGGCCAAAGCCTCTTTTCAAAATACTGTTCAATTTCTCGTCGAGAAGCCTTCTGAGGTTCCGGTTTAGGTTTGACTACACTCGGACAAGTTTTGAGGAGGTACTGTCTGTTTCGTTTGACACATTCAGCTGAATAAATGGTGTTAATTTTTTCTATGTCAGTATCGCTAAGACCATCACGTTGGCCAATTTTCAAGCCATCCTAGAAGTGAAAACAAAAGCCGATTTTAGCAATTAAATAGTCCTTTAAGAAAGCAGCCCATTCCCAATAGTTAGCATGGATTTTAAGTAAATACGTGTTGAAGTTAACTTTTATGAAGAAGATAGCGTATTACGGATCTGGAAGTATTTGCCTTTTAATTACACGTTTGTTAAAAAACTTAAGACCACAATAACCTAAGTGGACTTCTAAAAGTTACATATAAAGAGAAAACTCTTTAATATATCACTTTTCACTTTTCACATTAACGTTACGGTGTTTTAAATGCATTTATTACAAGTTAGCAAACCAACCCGGCTTTGCACCGGTAGCAGAGCGTAATATGTCTTCTTTTTTCTCTTTTACAGTTAAAATATCTGTTTAATAAAAATAGTTTCCCATGAACTTTTCTATCTATGGATGAAAAGTGTGTGAAAATCCGTATACAGACACACGCGACGGTGTTGGTTCTTTGTTTCGTCATCATCATCCAGCCTTTAATAGTCCAGTGCTGAACATAGGCCTCTCCTTAGAAAGGAGGTTTTGGCCTGACCGGTTGGTATAATTATCGTTGTTTAATAATATGTTATTATATGTTTCAATTTAATTTAAAATTGTAACTGAAATTTATCTAATACTTTTCATATACCCTCAACTTTATAACTTGTTCAATTATTTTTTTTAAGTTTTGATTTGCATTCTTCTTTTATTTGGGATACAATGCCTTGTTCGGCTTTTTGAAAATAAAAAAAAGGAATGTTATGAAAACTTACCCGGGCCACAATTGTCACTTGACCGTTTTTCGAGAAGGCGCGTGAAGGGTAGTGCAGTATACTTGCATAGTCATACGGTAAATTCTCGACATTAGGTTCTTCAAGACGCTCAAAAAATTTCTTGTAACCTTGACAAGTTATAACAAAGTAAACAGGCAATGTTAAATGGCAGCCATACTAAAATAACTTTAAGAAAAATATAGAAATAAACCGCAGTATCTGAGGGCCTAGTGTGAGTCTATTTCACATTAACTCGTTTGTCGACGGTGAACGAATATTGGTAGGAACGAAACCCGTTTAGTCTATTGTGGGTCTTTAAAAAATTTTACTAAGACCACAGGTATACTTAATAAGAGATAGAATTGGTATATTTTGTGTATGAAACAAAATCAATTACCTGGTTTAATGTTGTCCCACAATATAGAGACGAACTGGTCCCTGTCAGGTCTGATGTGTTCATGAGAGAACCCCAGCACATGCATTGTCTCGTGCAAAATTTCACCTACGGACATGCAATCATATCCCAAGACAATCATCTGGAAATGAAACAGGTTTGGTAAAATTTACAACTTATTATCTGATATTTATGCTACGTATAACAGATGGGTCATCCATCCACCATCTTCTAAAATCCGTAAAACATTACTCATCGCTGAAAGCTCTGAGATCCTGTAGAAGTAATCTTCTCTGACTATGTTAACAGTATGCAAAAGGATATATTTAATTTCTAATCAGTACATACTAAAGCACTTTTAAATCAAAATCACTTTTTCAGAGCTACAGCTATCGATCAATTTAGAGAGTTGAGACAAAGAAAAGAAGAGTACGTAGTGTCAAGACTCATTTACAGTACAGTACGAATACAGAGTGGTGGGCGTCACAAAACCTTCAAATAGAGGAATTACTAAGTTAACCGCAAGTGGCGGTCGGTGTGGATCTTGTGCCACGCCGCGAAGTGACCAGGGCTTTGTAAACGTTTATTTAGCGTGCTGATAAAAGTTTCAATCCAAAAATCTAACCTGAACACCTCTGATCAAAGCCCGTTCGTTGCTATGAACACACTGCCTGATGCCAGATGGATTTGTAATGTATAGCCATTCGACATTCTGAAGAGATTCCTTGTCCGTAGGTCGTTCACGCAGACGTTGCAATCGGATGCACGTCACTTTTTCGACGTAATCAAACGCTTTTCCTATCATATCAGCTAGATTTGCGTCTGGAATTGTGTTATAGAAATATATATATATATCGGGTATAAGGGACATCGTAACGAATACTGAAATAGTGTATTCAGACTATCATTCTGAGTCTAAAATCATTGGAATTTTCTCCGGAAAAGCTAAATTTGTTATGCAATCAGCTGTCAAAGGTAAAGGTCATTTCCCGTTGGTATCGCACAAAAGTAATAACTACAAGTGCATTCCGTGCAAACAGTCTACGCACACTAACACAAGTTAGTTAGAGGCCCCTCGCTCTTCGGCTGTTTGATTAATCACATTGTAGTTTTTGACCGTATGCGGTATTTGTTAAAAAAAAATGGAATCCGTAATCATCTGACAGCTATTTCGGTCCTTAGATAATCACCAGCTACTCAATGACCGCCAATATGGTTTTAGCTGGGGTCCCTCACCTGGTGTTCTTCTCGTCTATATAACACACCGGTGGGCACAGGTGATTGAGACCAAGGGAGAGGCTTGTGCGGTTAGCTTAGACATAGCGAAGGGATTCGATCGGGTCTGGCATAAGGCGTTTCTCTCGAAGTACCCTTCCTATGGGTTTCCCAAGACTTTCTGGGAAAACGTTACCGAGAGTTGAAACAAACTTGTGCCTTAGCGGAGGTTTCAGATTGGGGTCGACTAAATTTAGTCCATCTTAACTCAAAAAAGACATAGGTTTGAGCGTTCACCGCCAGAAAGATACCATTTATTATATCACCTCGGTTCGAAAGCACCTCCCCAACTGCCTCGGGCAGTATCCAGTCCCGTTTCGCGCTCACTTAGAGGGCTAGGTCAAATTAGCCTCGAAGAAGCTCGGTGTGCTGAACAGATGAAGGCAGTATTTCACTTCAACTGACCGCCTCCAACTCTATAAGGCGCAAGTCCAGCCACATATGGAATACTGTTTTCATCTCTATGCAGAGGCGACCCAGTAACAGCCTCTCCCCCTAGACCGCATCCAACGAAGAGCGACTTAATAAACTAATTTATATTATATAAATTAATTTATATTTAATTTATTCAAATTTTCAAGAAACTTAAACAATTATATTCGACGACCGGATGGCGTAGTGGTTTGTGTAACGGACTGCTTTTCCAAAGGTCGCAGGTTCGATTCCCGCTCAAGTCAAACATTTGTGTGCATGAACATTTGATGTTTGATTTGGTCTGGGTGTTTCTATGTATAATATGTATGTATTTACAAAAACAAAAAGTATATATGTATTTATATCAGTTGTCTAGTACCCATAGCACAAGCTCTGCTTAGTTTGGGACTAGATGGCGTTGTGTGTATGTGGTAGAATATTATCATTATTATTTATTATTATTATTCTAAATTGCTATGACGCTTTATTTATTCGGTAACAAAAATGCTTGTTGGAAAATTCGTGAGGATAATTAAAAAGTACTACCACCTTAGAGGTAGTGAATTCAGAATCTGAAAAGATAATTACAATATTAAGATTTACTATCTATAAATACCGAATATTACCTTTAATAGCGACAAAAATACCGTCTATTTCTGCTGCCAGTTTAATCTAAAAATACTCTAAACTACTAGTACTACTACTTGTACGCTTTACGATGAAGATTTAGGCATACAATCAAAATATAATTACGTAAACATTAACAATTTTTTAACATAACAAATTATTGTTTAAATTATAATCTATAATATCTAGAGACTATATAATCCAAATAACAATATTGAAAATTTAACTAACATGTATTGGTTAGTTCAAACTTTTTCACAGTGATATCTAAAATATCCATATTATCCACATTTATCCGGATAGTGTTTTAGAAGTACTGAAAATTTCCGAATAATTGCACATACATGTGTCGGATCAGCTAGAAAATAACAAAACTAAATAATAGTAAATAAGTAATCTGTACAGAATTTTAAATTAATTTTTAATACCGTAAGTTCTTCGGTCTATGAAGTAAGGCACGATGCTCAGCGGAAATCGTGGTGTTTTTCCAGAAGGTGGAGGGCCGTTCATATTTGATCCCTGTTTCGTAGGATGTCCTCTTGTTAGATTCATTGGAGCAAAAACGAACCTCCTTCCAGATACAGGTGATGTGATCTGCAAATTATGTATAGTTTCTTTAGTGTATTAAACTTACATTGGGAGAGGCGGAAGAGTCATGCTTCAGGCCAGATCCCTAAAAAAGGTGACAGCTCTGATCCGTCCAACTACAGGCCTATAGCCATAACTCCCTTGTTCTCTAAGGTGGTGGCTTGTTCTCTAATGGTATATGCTATTCACTTAAAAATTGTGTAATAACAACCAATGATTTTTAAGGAAAACACGTTATATTCATACTCCAAGCACAAAATACCAAATAACCGTACATAGATCTATTAATGCATTTTAGAACAAATCATACACTTACCTGTGGTATGATATTCCTTTATCTTTTTTTACCTTTTTGTTGTAATTTGTGAGCTTTCGGAATACTATACACAGGAAGGTATTTTATGATTTTTCTCGAATTAATTAGTACGTGCGCTCGCTCACAGTGGTCCTAATTAGGACCTTCACGTTTCGTGCGTTGGGGGCCTATCTACCTTGTTTGTGTATAATATTATTGATAACAACCATATAAAACCTGACCTGTCAGTTTAAGTTCTACTACTAAATAATTCGTAATTTTAATTGGAAACTTACAGTTTTATTCCTCTCCAGTTCTTCTATATTCATACGCCTGTATTTAATCTTCTCCCCTTTCTCCAAAAGGTCGTCGTACACCTTATCCACTATGTTCTCTACTCTTCTAGCATCATCTAGGTACAGCGTAGGGTTCAGAGCGTTGAAGCCTGTTTGCCTTTTAGCCCTTCGATGCTTCAACACGCCTTTCTTCTTCGAGCGATGACCTTTTTTAACTTCGTTAATTTTCTCTAATTTTTGAGTTTCTTCTGTAAATATGCGGCACATGTCCATCGTATCTTGACGTTTTCTTTCAATGAGTTTTTCATCCACTAATATGCGAAAAAATATATTTAAAAAATATATTTTAGAAAATAATTTCAATTTCTTCGTTTCGTAAAATAGCTCAATATTCATTTTGAAATTGTCAATTAAAATATTATAATTAAATCAACACACAAGATTCATTGCACTTCTACAAACGACGAAAACTATATTTAAGTAACGAAGTGTAACGAAGACACTGAACTACGGAGCAATTACTAATCATGCAACGCGCTATGAAAGTTCTCGCGCCGATTATATGTACAAATATACAAATTCCTAATCGACCAACATTTGATAATATTGGACCTCAGACCTAATCGGAATATCTTCCCTTTGTGTTGAAAGGAAATAACATCCGTCCCTCAGAATAGGTGGCTTTGAAAAGTGCTAAAATATTTAAAAAATGGATAACAAATTTGCTGTGTCAATCGACAACCGTTTGTTGTATGTCCTGGGACCTTTTTACAATTTAATGGATATCTCTTAAATGTCTTTACTTTAGGAGCTCCTATAAAAGAACAAAAATTGCAATGGGTAAAGATTTAATGCCGTTTGACTTGATTGAAGGCTATGTAACGATATTTGCTATTTGTGTCTTTTGCATGATGTCTACAATATTTAAGAGACTCACATATCAGTATTAGTTTGTATACTTTAATGCAATTTCTTCCTAATGCGGGAGTTGTTTTTTAAAAAAAGAAAGAAAAGAAAAGAAAGAATTTAGCTACTAATTTAGCTGTTGCTTTATTTCAGTATAATATGCTTATTATGAAGGTTTTCAATTTTTTTGTAGTTTTTTATGTTTGTTCCCTCTAAACTCCATCATTTATGAAACATTAGGGATTTTTTTGTTTGGATTGATTTAATTCTCGTTTGGTTTTATTTAAATTTATAGAAAACTATTACCCTTAAAGTGGTAATTTACTTTGAAATTCGAATTGGTTTGAATTTGAATTTAGGAATGAAGAATTCAGTTTATTAGAAATTATCATGTGCGCACATTGAAGTTGGTACTTTAATACTTTTTTATAAGTTAATTATTACTTACATGTACGAACGCTTAATTCGGATGAGATACCAGGGATTAAACCTTCAATTAAATTATAATGTAAATTAACGAAAATATATAAATTTAACAATGCCCACATATTGTATTCTGAAATAGTTATTTTGATTGAACAATATTCTACTTGTTATACTTCTCACAATAAAGTTGATAAGGAAATTGGAAAGAAACTAATGCTTTATTGGTTTTATATACATAATTTGTTTTATAACAAAATTTATGCATTTGCAATACACGTATATTATTAACCAACTTCAAAAAAGATGGAGGCTCTCAAGTCAGTTTTTTTATGTAAAGTTTATTACTTCAGAATTTCGTGAACAACTCATGATATGACTCCGAACTGGGCCTTTATCCTAGGCGAGGTAGGCCTTCAAAGTAGTGTTGAGAAAAATGAGAAGGTCATAGACAAAGATAATTGCCAATAAAATCAATCAATTTTTTTTTAAACATTACCTTTCTTTTTTTTTTAGATTTTAGACACGCTAGCGTAATAATAATAAGACGCAATTTTTGGTTTTGTAAGTTAGTCACTGGTGTGATTATATCATTTACAAATCATATGATTTATTACAGGTGATTGTGATTTTATTTTACTAAAATGGAAATTATGAAGAACATTTATATTGCAATTTTGTATGTTTTTATTGCAATTTTACATAATTGATTGTACAGGAAACGTAATTCAGTGTTTTATCTGCTTTATTGTATGAGCAACCTGGATATTTCATATATACAGATGAAGTAGATACATACATAAATATGCTATAGACGTACTTTTGTGGTAGAGAAACAAAAAGAAACGTCATGTCTCTCATCATTGGCTCAAATTGCATTTAAAATTTTGTTTATACCACCAGCTAGTGTTTTTAGTTTTTTAGAGGCCCAGTAATTTAATTATTGATTTGTTGAAAAAAACTATGATGGTTTGTTAATGTTTTATTGCGCAGCTATTCAGTCGATGATCAAAATTTACGTTGATAAACATACAGAAAAGGATATAGGGTATTTCTTTTTACTTTTAAGCGAGCGAAGCCAAGTTGAAAAGTTAGTGAATACTCAATACAAGCGATAGAGACTCAACAACAGAGTTATGGATGCCAACAAACTTTTGAACTTGCTGTGACTAAATATTCCCACTCGCATTCCTTACCCTGGATTAACTGGGGTATGTATATGGGCGGCGGTAGTTGTTTACCATCAGGTCCCCACCTAGAATAGAATAGAATAATCTTTACTGTACACCAGTTCAGTACATTATACATAAAATAGTATTTCAATTTAATGACCATGTACAAGTGCTGGCCTTATCGCTAAAAAGCAATTTCTTACAGGCAACCTTTACATGGACAAATAGACTGTAAATAGTTAATTTCTTGGGCAGTTTTGGTGTGGAAAAAAAGGGTAAAGGAATAAAAAAATATTCATACAGCAAAAGAGAATGATAAAAGGTAAATAACCCAGTAGTAATTATTATACAGAAGTCAATCCTGGTAATACCTACTTATATCAATACACGTTAATACATTACACATTATACCTACATACCTACACAAATACATAAAATTTACATTTCATTTGCAGAGGAATAAAACAGATAGAATATATTTTGTAAATGGTAATATGTAATGTAAATGGTAATGTTAATGTTGATGGTAATGTTCTTTGACCATTTTTAGGGCAGGTAAAGTTTTGGCACGTTTTATAGGCATTGTCAAAAGATTGCATAGTCAGACAGCATGTACAGTAAACGACTTATCGTAGAACGTGGTACAGTGTGTTGGTACTGCCAATTGCAGAGATTCAGATGACCTCAGGGATCTCAAATGTGTGTTACCGAGTAAAACAAAGCGTTCCTTTAAATAAGTTGAGTTAATGGGTGAAATAGAATACTATAAAGTAAAGAAAGAATAAGAGCATTCCATCGAAGGTGAATTGGGAGCCACTTAAGTTGGTTGCGATATTCAGATACATGATCATATTTGCTTAATCCAAATATGAATCTAATACAAAAGTAATAAAAGGCGCTCAAGGGTATCGATTTGCTCCTTCGTGCTATCGAGATAATTGACACCAGCATAGTCGAGTATAGGAAGGAGGATTTTGCGCAAGCGCAATTTTAGTAAAAATTGAGAAAATTGCAGTCTTCGAAAGGATCCCGTCGATGCAAACAATTTTCCACTGACCTCACGCAATTGGGGGCCCCGGGATAAGGTATTATCAATATAAATGCCTAGATTTTTAACACAGTTACTCATTAGTAGTGCAGTAACGTTAAACATGATGTTCGGTAATTGTGACCAGTCTATTCTTGATACCATCCCAGGACTGCCCACAGTAATAAGTTGGGTCTTAGACGAAATCACTACAACTCCATATTGATTGCTCCAGTCACACACACGCGCCTGGTCTAGACTGATAGTTGAAAAAGCTTCAGATAATTGATGTAAAGGTGTTTGTGTATATATTTGAAAATCATCTGCATAAAGGTGGTAGATAAGGCTAATGACTTAGTGATTGTGTTTATAAATAAAGTGAAAAGTACAGGAGATAAAACGCCACTCTGCGGGATGCCAGGAGACGTTTTACACCAAGGTGAAAAAAAAACATCCAGGCGCACACCTTGCTTTCGACCTAACAGGTAACTTTGAAACCAATCAATTATTGTTGGATATATGTTAATAGAGCGCAATATACCTAACAAGATGTGGAAATCTACACTATTAAAAGCATTGCTAAAGACCAGCAAGGAAAGAAAAGTAAGTTTTCTATTCTCCATACCGAGCCTGATGTCATCTGTAACATTGATCAACGCAGTTGACGTACTGTGACCCGCACGAAAACCTGGCTGGAGAGGATTTCCGAGTTGGTTTTCCTTAAGGAATGAATTTAATTGGGTGTGAACAAGACGTTCAGGACTTTTGAAAGGAAGGGCAATATGGTAATGGAATGATACTCGGAGACGGATGCAAGATTCTTCTTTTAGGGTCGTGGGATAACTTACCACCTACTCAGTTGGTTATGTAAGTACAGTAATCAGTAAGTACTGATTAGGATTTATATGTTAATATTACTTAATTACAGTGTTCAAAGTTCAATAGTTTTTTAACTCCTTTAAATGATATACGATACGACAGCAACACATTTTTCAGACATTTGACACACAACGCCATCGAGTTTCAAATTAAGCAGAGCTTGAACTATGTAAGCTAGATTGACGGATAGAATACTTATATACTTTTTTGTAAATACATACATATTATACATAGATTTGTAGATCATACGAAATTTTCAGGAATCAAACCCTAGACCTTAGCACAGCAGTAAGACATTAATATTAAATTTAGTTAATTACTGACTATGTTTGTGGTCTAATAATTGTAGCACATTAACGTCAGCCTCTAGCCATTTCGTTATCGTTAAGTAATTAATAATTTAAACTGTTTCCTCAGTGACTATTTGTTGATCTATGGCCCAAGTGCGTGTATATTTCACGTCGTCGTCGTCGTCACGGTGACCGCGTTCGGCGTTGCAATTGCGATTTAACGTGCTTAGATGTGAAATAAACTCACACTTGGGCTTAGGTTTTTTTTAATACTTATTTATTAATAAAAAAAACCTGTATTATTTACTGCACACATGCACATTGTCTATTACCTATTTCTTTCGTTGCCTATATTGCAAGTTGGGGCTCTTGTTCTCTCTAGGTTATATCTCTATGGATAGTCCCCTTTATCTGTTTCTAGTCGAGCTCTGTGGTCGGTTCGGGAATATGGGTCGAGTATCGGGTAAATAAGTAGCAAACGCAGCCTTATATAAACAGAGACAACTGGAAATATCGGGCATCCATCTCTCTCGCTGCCTGTATCGTTTCCACTTACAGGCGGCTGTGCACAGTATTTCAAATTACACGGAGAACACGGGGTTCTTTGAATTGAAAATACTGTAAAAAAAAAAAACACAAAAACTGGTGAACAATTACCGCTTAATTGAAATATGGATATTAGGGTGCACCAAGGTATGTCGGGGCACCAGGGACTTCCTTTCTAGGTTATACCTGGTTCCCCGGCTATTAGTACCCGAGACGGCGTACGGTTTTAGTCGGTTCGAGTCCGACATGCCACCGACAGGTGGTATCCGAGGGGATTTCCGCACTGCACCAAGGTATGAAGGAAATTCAGACAATATGTAAGTACATGCCCGTATTGAAAACAACTCTTTGATGTAAACAATGATCAAGCCCCGGAAGTTTCTAGCACCTGCAACTTATTTTAGCTCCTTAAAATGAAGCGTTATTAGATCTTGAAACTGAACTTTTCTTAAGAAAACTGTCATACGTTTTCAGTCGATCGAAAAAGGTCTTTATTTATTTAATCGTGGCAAAGGAGGTCTTTTTTCTAATAAGAGCATTTGAAATGTGTCACCGTTGTGTCTATTTGTTACTGTAAAAGCTCTACCCATGGTATATTCTAAGATTTACCGGTAAAACCTAAGATTTACCAATTACTTATGACAAAAGTTCGAATTTCGATCATTTACCACCATTCACTTGGCAAATATTAAGATATACTTCAAATGCACTATAAACGTCGATAAACAGACATGTTTCACCAACAACAGGTTTGGTTTAACCGTAAACCCCACAAAATGTCAAGCCATTGTAGTTGGAAGTCACCGATTGATGAGCAGAGTAGACATTGAGACTCTTCCGGCTATCAATTTTAACGGTACTACCATACCTGTTTGTCAATCGGGGAAAGATCTTGGCCTACACCTCGATTGCACACTAAACTGGCGTGAGCACTTCAGGCTCTATATCGTCTGAGAAATGTCCTACCCCCAAAAACCAAGACCATGCTTGTGCAATCCCTTATCTTCCCCTTAATCGACTATGGTGACGTGTGCTGTTACGACCTGAATGCAGATCTTCTCGATAAATTAGACCGTCTTCTTAATAACTGCATTCGATTTGTTCACAATCTCCGTAAATTTGATCATGTTGCCGCTTTCCGTTCGCAGCTCAATTGGCTACCAATTCGTCTACGCCGAAAACTACGAGCTCTCACTATCTTATCATCATCATCATCATCAACAGCCTTTAATAGTCCACTGCTGGACATAAGCCTCTCCTTAGAAAGGAGGTTTATATCTATATCACTATCTTATACTCTATCTTAAACAACCCATCTTCGCCAACATATTTAAACTCCTACTTCCAACTTTTATGTAGTAATCACAACAGAAACCTTCGGTCCTCTAACAACCTTCTTCTTCGTTGTCCCCCCCACACGACTGATTTGTTGGCTCATCTTTTATTGTGCAGTCCCTTCTTCTCTGGAATGACCTTCCTCTCGAGGTCAGGATGGCGACCAACACTTTCTCATTCAAAACTAAAGTGAAGCAGTATTTTGCAAAACAACTGGCAGAATCAACTGATGATTGTCATCTACTATTAATGGTATTTAATAGTAGATGACAATCTATTTATGGTATTTAATAGTAGATGGTAATATATTTAATGGTATTTATTTAGGTATGTATGTATTTATGTAAGTTTATATGTATTTAAGTATATGTATGTGCGTATGTATTATGTGTATGGGCTCTAGTGTATGATAGGTTTACGTACGTGTATTTGATATTAAACTACTATCAAACTTTAACCAAAATGCACCTTTTTTTTTTTTTTTTTTTTTTTTTTTTTTTTTTTTTCCGTGCGGAAATCCCCTCGGATACCACCTGTCGGTGGCATGTCGGACTCGAACCGACTAAAACCGCACGCCTTCGCCGGGTACTAATAGCCGGGGAACCAGGTATACCCTAGAAAGGAAGGCCCTGGTGCCCCGACATACCTCGGGTCATCTACAGACGAGTAGACGACCCCCGCCCCGTGTGGGAACCAAAATGCACCTACTTCCTGTTCTCTCTGCATCACCCAAAGGTTGACTGGTAGAGAATGCGTTAGGCATTAAGTCCGCCAATGCGCCAAAGTGCATGATGTATAAATAAATAAATAAACAGAGGGGATTTTAATGGTCACTGCTTTAATCTAACCTAACCCAAATTTAACTTTAAAGTAATATTGGTTTCCTTGCAACATCAACATTTACCAACTGCCTCTGGTAAAACCTATCATGTACAGGTTGTGCCACTTTTTAATAATACTTACACTACCAACTCCTGTCGGTAAATCTTAGTTTTTACCGGTAAATCTTATGATTTACCGTAGATCGGACTTTTACAGTAACATAATATACACTGTACGTGTTAGGTTTGATTTGAACGCAGCCAACATTGAGTTTAGAGTAATATTGTATCGTGCACTATAGCTATACGTAATTGAATAAAGCCTTGTTGCAAGTTAGAAATGTATCTACACACGAGACTCTTATGTAGATTTGTTACTATCGCAGTTAGTAAATTCGGTACGTCAAACTTAGGCCTTACTTATCCCCACGATGGATTTGCAAATTCGAATTTAGAAAGTTAACTTTTTATTCCGGCACTTTAACGAGGTTGTAGTTGTGGATGTGGAGCGAACTGGCCAGTTGCGGTTTGTGTGTCAATGTGAGAGTACGTGCGCTCTGTGCCGCGTCTGTAATATAGTGTGAGCGAAATTGTTTGACGCACTCGTGTTGTTGTTATACTCATTGATAAATAAAGGATTTTTAAAAGTAAGTACTATACATTTGACTCAATATATTCGATTAATGTAATCATAACATTGTTAAATATTATGAATTTGTGAACTTTTGCTGGCGTACGACGGATTTAAGTTTGTTGACTGGGCATAAAAGTGGTTATACATTTAGCTTACTTATTAGAATTTGTATTATAAAGTATAACTATGTACCGTTATGGTACCTTAGGAGTTAATTGAGCTCGTTGGAGAACTGAAAATAGCTAGGTCGATAGTAATTGAGGTCTTGACTTTGTATCAAATGTAATTATGCTAAACTATGCATCTATCTATTGAATACGATTGCTGAATCAATCACAAATTGCCGCCAAAATTAGGCAAGCAAATATAGTCTTAATCGTGTTGGATAAAGTATCAATATTCTTGAACAGATTTAAATGCTGTGCCACCTGTTCAGTGCTTCTATGAATGAATGAAGTTCGATATTGCTTTGGTCATATACTCGTACAAGTAATTGATTACTTTCACTAGATGTTCAAGTGTTTTGAGGCCATAAAGATGTACCTACTACCTATGCAATATTGTGTTTTAAATTACTTACTACTTAAATATTATTTATGTGTATGTGATTTATGTGAACCTCCTTTCTAAGCAGAGGCTTATGTCCAGCAGTGGACTGTTAAAGGCTGATGATGATGATGTGATGTGTATGTGATGTTTGGTGGGTGTAATATACAGTTTGTTTTGCATTTCTTAAATTAACATTTAAAATATATTCTACATGTATTTTTACATTAGGTTAAAGGTAATGTTTAACCGACATCAAAAATGAGGATGTTCTAAGTTGGGTAGTATGTTTATTATAGATATTGTTTTCGAAAATTATTTTCTTTATTTCGAAGGGTATACTTCCGGTTTGATATCATTAAAAAAAATAATGCCAATTATATAAATAACCTTTAGGTTGGAAAATTGAAGATTAAAAAAAAAGTTTATTACAATTAATCATGATCTTGGATGTTTCTATATTCGTTAATTATTAGAAATACGTTCAACGTGGGAATCAAACCTCCGACATTTCAGACGTATGCTTTGAAATAGTTATGGGTAACTTTTATTATTTGCAGAAAATAGATTATATTTAATTGTATTTCCTGTCTATTTTAAAAATTACAATTTACCTTTTGCGATACCAGTAGACCTCGTTCTGGTCTGACGAGATTGCTCATGACACCATGAAGAATTAGGAAGCAAGCTAACAAAGTAAAATTGTGACAGAAAAAATGTCCGGTTAGAAACTTGCATACGTTTTTGCCTTCTCGCCTTTAAATTCACAAACGGCAGAAGTGAAACTTCAAAAAAAAATTGGAATCAGGTGTGTGTTAAATGTTTGTGTTACGGACGGGTTTCCTAGTATAGGAAATTATGTGGTTTCGAACCACAATCACATAATCACAATTCGCCACCGCCGCACACCGGTGCGTTTATCATTTCTCTAATAAAATTAATAATTTTGATGAATGAGACTTAAAAATTCATAGATAAAAAATCATTTAGTACCTTTAAGCTGTAAATAATCATTTTTAACTCGTAATGTTTTTAAAATATTCTCATAACATAAGGTTTCATGACATACAGAACTTTTGAGGCGTTAACATTAAATATAATTAAACGCAAAAAGACTGATACAAAAACTTAATTGCGCTGTATTCCTTTTGTACTAATAGGTTACGTAGTACGACAAAAAAAATAGTATCATTAGTTTTCAAATCAACATTCGTCTGTTGTTTGTGGTTAGCGCCGTTGTCAGCTATTGTATTCTGTAAAAGGAAACCAAAGTCCAAACTTTGCTAAATAATTAGGGGAGGTATGGTCCGGTACGAGGGGGTCACCTACAAATCGTAGATGGCCCGGAGTCCGTCGTGGTAATAGCAATTTCCTTCCTAAGGTACACCTGGTCCCCGGCTACTGGTATCCGAGGCGGCGTGCAGGTTTTACTGGGTTCGAGTCCGACATAACCACCGGTGGGTACACAAGGAGATTTCCGTATAGACAAAAAAAGGTAGAGGTACGGTGTCCAGTTCGTATCGCTGTCTTTATGACAGGACACTCAGATATTTGAGCTCATGCAGTCCCAACCTCGTTTCTCCACCCAAAACTTGGCGGTAGCCTTTAAGATACCTTTCTAAGGAAAACTTTAGCCAAATTTGACTTTACGGAAGCGGTAGTGGTTTAGGGGTTTGGTGTTCTTTGTGTCCGTTTCATGAACTTTAGCCAAGTCCCCAAACAGAGGATATATTCTTAGTGCGGGAGTTGTTTTTTTTTAGTGACCTTTTGTGTCTATTGAAAACGTTTATATTTACATTGGAGGTTGGTGTGAGGTAGGCGACCAGCTACGAATGAAACCAGACAAAATCGTTTGGCGAGTCTAAACAAAATTGCGAAAAGGGGAGGAAAATTATGGGGGTGGCACGTGCAGAGTTAAGAGATATATCCGGGTCGGACCAAATGTTTGAATGATCTGCAAATATTTGTTTCGGTGTTTCCTATGAATAATATGTACGTTTACAAAAAAAAAAAGTATTCTATCAGTCAATCTAGCTTACATAGTATAAGCTCTGCTTAGTTTGAAATTAGATGGTGTTGTGTGCAAGTTGTTAGAAAATATTATTATTAATGTTATTATTTCGCTCTCGAAATCTTTTATTTCTAACTTTGAAAATAACGACCTTCAATACAACCGATCATCCCTTATTGCCTCTTAAGGGGTATAATCTTATAAAATATATTTTCTTCCCTAATATCTATTCTTCCCATGGTTTTCCCACGGTGATATTATTTAATATTAATATTTGACGGCTACAGATTAAGCTTATAAAGTTATACCATGCCTTTCTCTAACATTTGTACCTTTCGAACAAAACGTAAACATTAAACAGATTAAAAAAAATTAGCGTCCGTCATAGCTTCTAAAAAAGAAAAGTACTCTTTAATTATTTATGGTAGGTGTCAGAGAAAAAATAAAGTAACGTTATGATTTAGCAGTCAAATTTACTGCTAGATTCGCAACGCAATAAATATAATAATGTACAAAAATAATCTGTCTATTAAAATTAATTGCAGTTTTCATGATGAAAAAAGGCATGGAAGGCGCTGTGATCATTACACAACAAGAATACTAAATATTTAATTAATTGCAATTGTGTCTTTACTGTTATTTTATAATGAGTACTCCCACTTATTTTAATTAAAAGAAAATTAAAAGGTAACAGATAGACTCCTACCTAACATATAAACAATGTAAGCAACTAGTAACTGCGAGTTCAGCTGTGTAAAATAAGTACGCCTTTTTTGTCCAAGCTTTCATTAACCTCTATTTAAATTAAATAATAAAAAAACAGATAGTGGTATCTCGATATAAATAAGTAAAAAAGCAAACAACACGATACTGTGGAGGAACGGGTGTCATGCCCCTCCAACACAAAGGGAGGATCCTTCGACCAGGCGAGGTGATCATGCCTGGCGGGCCGCGGCCCAACGGTTGGTGTTGGGAAGTTGTATATATGCTAATCGCCGAGGGAATTCTTTATATCGCGATACACGATTAGCAATTCCTATTTTAGTAGTTACTCCGTAGTTCGGTGTGTCTTCATTAGATGGCGCTGTAGTATGTTTCTGTTTCTTTGTATGTGGGTATCGCCACAGATACTACCCTTCCGCCAAACCTTTTTTTCCAAACTAGTCTACTATGATACGCACTGAACTACGGTTTTTTTAGGCAGAGCCATGCCATCAGAGCTCCACAACCCAACTACGAGGTGATATCAAAGTTCTGTAGAAAGACTGTAGTTGGTCTTTTTAGGTGCTCTCACAACCGGGACTGACCCCTTAACGTGCTCTTCGAGGTATGGAGGGGTCTCAATGTGTTAAGAATGGTCACCCATCTATAGAGTGACTTGGTTAGGATTACTAAACCTTGCAATGTGTTAGCCTACTCGGTTACCACTTAGCCTGTACAAACACCACCAGTGAACCCATTTTTGTTGTTTTTCCATCTTTTATGAGTTTGGTACTCTTGAACACACCGCATTTATTTTTAAAAAATGCATTTGTTGACTACCTTATAAGTCTAGGGACAGCTACGCAGTCAGGATCCCTGTAGTATAGTGTAGTATAAGGATGGGGGCTCTGCCTAGTTCGAGATCAGTCAGATTATTATCTTATTTTTGACATGTGGATTTGGGGTTTCACCTCACCGGGGCAGGATGGTGATTTGTACTAGAAGTGACTAATTGTTTTAATATTTTATTACAAATTGTTATAATATTACCAACTAGGAAATTGAGTCACATAGTAGTAGGCTTTAGGAATATCTATTGTTTTCACTATCGAGAGTCCGGCCATACGAACCCAGTACCATACTTTGTTTTTGTTCTTTTTTTAGGTTTTAACTTTTGTTCGATTTAAAAATATGAAGAAGAAACCTTCAAACACGTGCAGTAAGTATGCAACACGCAATATAAACTGCTTTTTGTGTTAAAAATATACAAAGGGATTTTTTACTATTACTATTTAAATAAAAAATACTTAAAGGCACAATAATATGAAGATAATTTATCTGTATATTTTAACAGCGCATCTCAAAGTTCAATTTACTGAAGCAACTGTAAAAACTAATCTACAGTGTATAGAGACAAAGACATTTAAACGAGCAGAATGACTTATATGCGAGACCTAACTTAATGATTACAGTAAAATATTTTAAACAAAAACTAGCGCTAATGATGAAATAACCCTTGACTTTGACTCTAAGACGGCAGTATCAAAAAAAATATTGTATAGTTCATACGATTTTTCGTTACATTCTTTACTAAGAGGTGGGTAAATACGCAATATATGTACGTACGTTCGACATTAATTACTAACAATGTTTTTCTGTTCCTTTCAAATCAAAAACAAGAATAAAATACGCAAAACTTGTTAGAAATCTTAATTAGGGTTCCGTACCTCAAAAGGTAAAAAAGGAACCCTTTT